CCGCGCAGGGCCGCCGAAGGCGAGCGCGGCGGCGGCGATGGCGACGACGGCGAGCGCGGCGGCAGCGGCAGCGCTCGGCTCGAGCGCCGCGGCCCGACCGCGGGCTAAACAGCGCTCGCTCCGGGGGGGCGGCGCAGGTCCGGGCCCGCCGGCTGCCGAGGCTGTGCCGTGGAGGGTCCCCTCGTGGGGCCCAAGATCTTCCACAATTGCTCCATATGAAAGCTCCTCTCCTCTCACGCCCGCCCCCCTCCGCGTATTGTTTTCTTACACGCGGGATTTCTTCTTGTATTTGATATTCTGATTCCACTGCTTCTCTTCGATCGGAACCTTTTCGGCGTCTCAAGACGGTGCTGCCGCTGCAGCGCTGGCCTCATTTTAAGGTCGGCGCTTTGCCCCCGTCGTTCAGACATGCGCTCTCGCCCCATTGCGGGCCACTAAATTCTGGATCCGGGTCTTTCCTCATCGTCGTCGCCTCCTTCCTTTCCCCCTCTCTGCTCTCCCCTGGTCCTCCTGCTCGTCCCGCTCCTTCCACTCAAGCTCCTGCTGTTGCCGCTGGCCAGAGCTTGGAGGGGACCCAGCCGTTGTGGCGAGAAGTCTCCCTGAGTGTCAGAGAGGCTCCCAAACGTCCCAAAGCCTTGGCCCTCCAGGCCCAAGTGGCTGTCCAGGCCGGCGACCAGCCCGCCGTCGCCCCCCCGCCAGCCGCATGGCCGCCCTTGCGCTGCGCGGCGCGACCGCATGGCCGCATGGCCGCATGGCCGCCCCAGGCCCCAGGCGCTAGGCGCTGGGCACTGGTCCTCAGGCCCGCCTCCTCCTCCTCCTCCTCTCCTCCTCCTCCTCCTCCTCCTCCTCCTCCTCCTCCTCCTCCTCCTCCTCCTCCTCCTCCTCCCCCTCCCTCCCCTCCTCCCCCTCCCGTCCCCCTCCCCCCCCCTCCCCCCCTCTTCCTCCTCCTCTTCCTCCTCCTCCTCCTCCTCCTCCAGAGATGGGGCCCTGAGGGATGGGCCCCAAGGGTAGGAGAGGGATCCCATGCTGAACCGTCACAGTGGATAGGATAGGAGAGGGATAGGCCCCCCCCCTCTATCAGGGCGCCATCTTTGACCCGCCAACGACGCCCCAGGCCCAGGCTTTGTGCCCGTGGGCCTCGCCAGCCGTATGGCCGCCGCGGCGGCCAGCTGCAGGCGGCGGGCCCGCGGCGGCCGCTCCGCGCTCGTTGGCCTGTGGCTCCTGCCGCTGCTGCGGCAGCGCGCGGCCGCCGAAGGCGTGCCACCGGACCCGTACAGGCCTGGCGGCTTGGGTCAGCGCCGCCGCCGCCATCGTTGTCGTCGTCGTCGTCGTCGTCGTCGTCGTCGTCGTCGTCGTCGTCGTCGTCGTCGTCGTCGTCGTCGTCGTCGTCGTCTTTGTAACCTTCCTAAGGCTCGGTAGACGTGGTCATCTAGCCAGATAGTTGGATCGTTTTTTTCGTCAGTTGGATCGCGACATCTGTGTACCTCTCTCGATGCATATATATATATATATATATATATATATATATATATATTTATATACATATATATAAAACAAATAGGCCAGGCCCCCTCCCGGGGCGTCCTCTACCACGATCACATCTGGATTACGCTCCCGGTACCGCGTCCCCGGCCCCCCACATAGGCCCCAAAACGCCTCAGAAGAGCCGCAGCCGCCCACGAGCAGCCGCCAGAATCTACAAGGACAATCCACGACGCTCCCAAGCAACCCAATATAGCCTTCGGGCGGCTCTCCAGGCTCCCAGGAGGCCTCCAAGAGACCTCAAGTGAGCTCCGAGAGGCTTCCCGAGAGCGCCCGGAGAACCTCAAATCGTTAATTTTCATTGTTTTTTTGATGTTTTTGGCTTTCTCATTATTTCATGCTTCCAACGCTCCGACACGGCCGAAGAGGCTCCGAAGACCGCCCCATGACCGCCCAAGACGGCCCTCCGTAGCCATGTTGGCTCAAGTAAAACATCTATCGAGCCAGCTGGACAGGAACAGTTCCTTCGCTGCTCCTCAGAGTGCCTGCCTTGGCCAGGAGTCAGCGGCTTTCGTTGTCTCTTTCTACTTCCCTCCTCCCAGCACCATGCCAGAACGCCGCCGCCGCCGCGATGGTAGCGGCGGAAGCGCTGATGCTCGTCGCCGCGACCACCGTCTTGATGGACGTGCTGATGATCGACGCCGCCCCCGTTCGGCATCGCACAGCAGTTATCGCAGCAGTCACAGTGTGTCAGCAAGCCGCAGCAGCCGTGGGGCGCCCGCTGGCAAGCCAGCTAAATCTATTTCTTCAGATGACAAGCTCGACCCGCTCCTGTCGTCCTTCACGGGCTTTGGGCGCCAGCTGGCGCCAGCTGGCAGCCTCATCAAGAATCATTTCCAGGCGACTGTCCAAAGCTGTGACGACCTCAACACGCACATCACTGACCTTGCACGCCAGACGAATGACAAGTTCCAGGTGCTCGAGGGCCAGGCCAGCGCCGCATTGACGGACATCAGCGATTTGTTCGACGCCTTCAAGAGCGGCACTGCGACCCCTTCGTCCCCCATGGACCATGATGGTGACGATGGTGTCCACCGCGAAGTTCAGGATAATATCCAGGCCATCAAGGAGCGGCTTCGTACCCTCTCTGCTCCACCACCTTCTATTGGCACTCGCTCTTCCTCCTCGCCCTCTGATGCAGCCATGGAAAATACAGGTAAGCTGATCGTGATTGGCTTCCCTCGGCAGATGATGCAGTCCACCCTCCACATGATAGGTGAAGCTACTCGTCACCGCTACGCTCCCACTGATAGGGCGGAGCATATCTCGATCGAGGCCGTCGACATGACCAAGAAGATCGCACTACACTTCGAGCGAGCTGAGGACGCCACGAACCTCATGGATAACTACTCGCCTGACGGCCAATACACGCACGCGGACCCGCTGGTGCCCGCCGCGCCGCTGCCCCTCCGCATCAAGCGCGACCAGGCGATCACTGGCCGCCAGCTCTTCCTCTCCATGGGCCGCATCCGATCGTGTCCTCCTCCCGAGGAATAATGACGTCGGCAGCAACGGGCTTGGAGGCTTGGTCTACGCGATCCGTGGCCCCGAAGACCCCGTTCCTCTCGTTCAATGCCACTGCGCGGAAGGCTCGACGGTCGCGACGGTTGAGTTCCACGACGAGGGCTTCTTTGCCATGGGCCTCGAGTTGCACATTTCGCAGCGACAGTGACGTTGGGCCTTGCCTCCAACCCCGCCTAAATTGTTTGCCCTGCTTCCCCTCCTCCAAACTGTCTTTTTGCACGTGGAATGTCCGCGGCCTTTTTAGTTCGGTTCGCGATGGCAGCTGGCGTGCCGGCGCTCGCTTCAGTCTTCTCCCCCCTTCATTCGCCAATTCCAGATAACGCGTTGCCAGGGAACTCACGGACATATTATATAGTTATGTCGATGAGCTCCGTCGCGAGCTGAGCTCTTCCGGGGATGGCTTCTGCGTCGGCCACTCGCTCTTCTCGGATAGCCAGCGTGAAGGTGGTGCCATTACTATCCTTGGTCCCTCTATTACTCGTGTCGTCCCCGTGGTCCAACATATTGAATTGTTCCCAGGACGGGTGCCCCAGGCGAATTTGATCGGCTCGCGTGGGCTCCTCGCTATCTTCAACTTCCACCTCCCCCAGTGCCAGCGGTGCCCTCTCGATCTACTCTCGTGCCCTGCATGTGGTTAAGCGTGCGCGCGCGTCGTTGCCAGCTGGCCGCAGAATCTTGATTGGGGGTTTCATCTTTACGGTGGATGAGGAGGGCAGGATGCAGGGTGGCGGTTTGGGTTGGACGCCTGGGGATAGGGCTCGCGCTCGCCTATTCCGTCGTCCGTTTCCTCAGGCCGTTGAGTTGTGCCAAGAGCAAGACGCACGGCGGGGCTTCGTGCTGGGGTTATTGCGCGCGCTGCCCGCTTAGATCGTGCTTTCTCTTCGCTGCCACCAGCTGTTTTTCGAGATTTCAAGGTTCGGCCGGGCGTGATTGGCATGCCGAAGGCCAAGATGCCGAGCGACCACATCCCACTCTTCCTCGCAAGCGAGCCACTCCGTCCTGATACCTCCTCCCTCTGCGCCAAAAGGAATAGCTAGTCGCGACGAGTTCAGTGCCTGTGTGGAGGCCGCCGTCTCGGAGGTTCCCGTGGACCTTGAGGCCCTGCCGCGCCTAGAGAAAGTCCAAGAAGCGATGTGCGCCGCTGCAGACAAAGTTCGGGGCGCTCTTAAACGCAAGCAAGCCTCGTCCTTAGAAGGAACACATCACTGGGCCCTCCAAGCTCTCCGCGGGTGGCGTCTTGGCCGCCGGTGGGTTATTGCTGGTGCTCCCCGTTGCTATCTTATCCTGCAGCGCCATTTCAACCTGGCGACCTTCCGGCGCGTGAACCTCCATGGCCTGTCTGAGCTGATCCAGTCCATCCAGCATCAACTCTTGGGCCGGGAAGAACGCGAGGTTGAGCTTTCTGACCCCCACTTCGGAGGCGCAGCGGGGCCAGGCGGAAACTGTCCACCGCAATGAGGACATCTGGGGGCGATATCGGTGTAGGACAAGTCCCACTTGTGTTTATGGTGAGCAAGGTAATGCCTGCCTGTCAGACGACTGTTCCGTCGAGGTCCTGAAGCAGGACTGGTCCCAGGTCTTCTCGCCCCCGCGCCTGGGCGCCTCTCTGTGGGATGAGATTGGCCCGTTTATACAGCTGGTTCCTGAACCTCTTCCTCGCTCCTGGATGCTATCCTTTGGGGAATGGGTTGGCTTCGTTCGGTCGAGGTCACGCAGCATGCCTGGTCAAGATGGGGCCCCGCATTGTGCCTGGAGAGTTCCACGCGCCGCGCGTGCCCTGTGTGATGTGAATTTACTGCTGTTCTTTCAGGGGGTCACGGAGCTCCATATTGCTATGCGCAGGGGTCTGATGGTCTTCTTGCCCAAAGGCGTGGAAGAGGATTCGTCGTCGTCGGTCTCTCGAGGGCCTCATAATGCACGTCCACTCAGCATGTCTAGCACGGGTATCAAGATCTTGGCAGGTGCAATGACCATCCCGGTTAGTGAGAATACGAAGAGCTGTGTTGCTTTTGCCCAGAAGTGCGCGCAAGGGCGGGGCATGATTTCTGGCGTCATCCAAGCAGAAGCTTGGGGTATGGCGCAGTGCATCTTGGGCCCTGAGAATGCATGTCAGCTGCTCGCAGACTTTTGCTCGGCATTCCCGTCGCTGGCCATCCCGTGGCTTCTGCGCGTGCTTGCCCGTGTGAATATTGCGCCAGCCGTCGCCACCTTCTTCGCGCTCCTTTTTCAAGATGATATTGCTGTCGTTCCCTTGAGCGGTCGCAAGTCTGGCGGATTTCGCAAGCAGGGTGGTGTCAAGCAGGGTTGCCCCAGCAGTTTGATGTTATGTGTTCTCGCTGCTGACCCATTCTTGCGCTGGCTCGCGTTTAAAGAATCTCGGCATTTCGACAGGGCCCTCGCGTGGGTCGACGACTTCTGTTTCGGGCTCTGCAATGTCGTCTCCTCCCAGGGTCCCATCCTCGCCACGATTGGGCGGTCTGACAAAATTGCTGGCCTTCAACTCTCGGAGGTGTCAAAGATGCGTTGTGGGCTCCATGGGCCTCCAGCTTCTCAATGACTCCATGGCAAACCTCCGTGGGGGCACCAAGCTTATCCAAGTTTTGTATGCGGTGAAGTACCTAGGCATATTCGTTGGTCGGGGCGCGGGCAAGTATGCCTGCGATGCTGCCCTGGCCAAGTTCCGCCAGCGTGCGATCGTCGCGCGTGCGGCCTCGGTCTCGCGCGGTCGATCCTAGCCTTCAAGGTTATGTGTGTTTCAGTGCTCTCTTCTGTGATGCAAGTGCGCCCCATTGCACCTCGCCGGATCCACATCCATCGTGGAGCTGTGATGCATTTTACTGCCAGCCCTCGGAATGCGTTGTCATGTAACTTTGGTGTTTAGCCCACCGAAGTCCACCCTCGCGCTCCTCTCCAGACATCGGTGCCCTCGATGAGGCCACATGCATGAGATGTAGTGTGAAGCATCCATAAGTTGGAGCGGTTCTTGGGCATCTTGATTCTCAAGCTGACGATGATAAATGTATTGTCGCTCGCATGGTCTCGGGCTGCTGGCCCACATCCTTCCCATGTTATGTTTGCGCCATGTGCAACTTATACTTCTCGGGACCTCGGAGCCTTCGGAGTCTCCCCGAAGCTCCCAAACACGTCCAAGCCGCCCTCTGCAGTTCGCTTTGGGGCTCGCAAGCTCCCCGTGGGGGCCCTAAGTACACCC